CCGTTCTTCGGCCCCTTCTCTCCCGTTCTTCGGCCCCTTCTCTCCCGTTCTTCGGCCCCTTCTCTCCCGTTCTTCGGCCCCTTCTCTCCCGTTCTTCGGCCCCTTCTCTCCCGTTCTTCGGCCCCTTCTCCCCCGTTCTTCGCTCCCCCCCTTCTTTCCATTCTTCGTCCCCTTCTCCCCCGTTCTTCGCTCCCCCCCTTCTTTCCATTCTTCGTCCCCTTCTCCCCCGTTCTTCGCTCCCCCCCTTCTTTCCATTCTTCGTTCCCTTTTCTCCCGTTCTTCGACCCTTCTCCCCCGTTCTTTACCACTCCACCCCTCGCATATCCCCCCCCCCCTTTCCTCTCTCATTTTCAAATACTGGCACCCCTCCAGTTCTATTAATATTCTCATTTCTGCTCCCTTTTCTCTCCCCTCTACCATCTTCATTCCTCAACTTTTCCACCATCTTTCTTCCCACGACTACCTCTATTCTTCCCATTTCCCTTCTCACGCCCATTCCCCCCCCCCCCTTCCTTGTTGTTTCTCCTTGTATTACAGTAGTCTCTGGGGAATTATGATGTCTGACGACCCAACATGTAGTGAACAACTATAGCGGCAGGAGAGGAAAATGATAGTATGGCTTATGAGAAGCGTCAAATCCAGTGATCCCACAGCAGTGTTAATACAGTACTAGTTTAATCATTGGCTCTGGCCCTCCTTGAGTACTGCTCAGTACTCTGGGCGGGACAGCATTATCCCTTTCAGAGCTGCGGAGGTTTGTGAAAGAGGGAATACAGAGAACATATAGTGCACATATAAACACGATAAAACAAACAAAATTATTAGGATCGTCTTAAAGTTCAGAATGTACTCTTTAGAAGAGAGACGAGAGGGGTATCAGATAATATATACATGAAAGATACTGGAATGCCAGATCTCAAATTTGCACACTTGGGTAACAATATACTGGAGGGAAAGATGTGGAAGGAAATGCAGAATAGACCCAGTGAGGAGCAGAGGTGCCATAGGCACAATGAGAGTACTGTCTGAACATCAGACGGCCACGGCTGTTCAATATCCTCCCAACAAGCTTTAGAAATGTTGCCGGAACGAAAGTGGAAGTCATCAAGAGGCATTTACCTGGTTGATACCTGGTTGATGGGGTTCTGGGAGTTCTACTCCCCAAGCCCGGCCCGAGGCCAGACTTGACTTGTGAGTGTTTGGTCCACCAGGCTGTTGCTTGGAGCGGCCCATCTTCTTGAAAGAAGACTTGCAAACTACATGCAGTCGTATAAGAAGATTGAAGGGCAAACTAACATCAATACTCATAATAGACCTAAAACAATAATCGAGTGAGAGGGGGAGGGGGGTATTCAGTAAATTCAATTTGAATAATAAACAGATAGACTGGGAAAAATAAACAGGGAACTAACAAATATTCAATGGGAACTGTTCTAAATAATAAAAATCCAACACAAGGAATAGAACAACTGACTTTCTAGGCATATAAAGTCTGTCTGAAACATGTTCCATTGTGGGGAGAGAGAGAGAGAGAGAGAGAGAGAGAGAGAGAGAGAGAGAGAGAGAGAGAGAGAGAGAGAGAGAGAGAGAGAGAGAGAAAACGAGAGAGAGAGAAAACGAGAGAGAGAGAAAACGAGAGAGAGAGAGAAAACGAGAGAGAGAGAGAAAACGAGAGAGAGAGAGAAAACGAGAGAGAGAAAACGAGAGAGAGAGAGAAAACGAGAGAGAGAGAGAAAACGAGAGAGAGAGAGAAAACGAGAGAGAGAGAGAAAACGAGAGAGAGAGAGAAACGAGAGAGAGAGAGAAAACGAGAGAGAGAGAGAAAACGAGAGAGAGAGAGAAAACGAGAGAGAGAGAGAGAAAACGAGAGAGAGAGAGAGAGAAAACGAGAGAGAGAGAGAGAAAACGAGAGAGAGAGAGAGAAAACGAGAGAGAGAGAGAGAAAAACGAGAGAGAGAAAACGAGAGAGAGAAACGAGAGAGAGAGAACGAGAGAGAGAGAAAACGAGAGAGAGAGAGAGAAAACGAGAGAGAGAGAGAGAAAACGAGAGAGAGAGAGAGAAATCGAGAGAGAGAGAGAGAAAACGAGAGAGAGAGAGAGAAACCGAGAGAGAGAGAGAGAAAACGAGAGAGAGAGAAAACGAGAGAGAGAGAAAACGAGAGAGAGAGAAAACGAGAGAGAGAAAAAAGAAAACGAGAGAGAGAGAGAGAGAGAGAAAACGAGAGAGAGAGAGAGAGAGAGAAAACGAGAGAGAGAGAGAGAGAGAGAGAAAACGAGAGAGAGAGAGAGAGAGAAAACGAGAGAGAGAGAGAGAGAGAAAAACGAGAGAGAGAGAGAGAGAGAGAGAGAGAGAGAGAGAGAGAAAACGAGAGAGAGAGAGAGAGAGAAAACGAGAGAGAGAGAGAGAAAACGAGAGAGAGAGAGAGAAAACGAGAGAGAGAGAGAGAAAACGAGAGAGAGAGAGAAAACGAGAGAGAGAGAGAAAACGAGAGAGAGAGAGAAAACGAGAGAGAGAGAAAACGAGAGAGAAAGAAAACGAGAGAGAAAGAAAACGAGAACGAGAACGAACACGGTCCAACGTAGAAAGAGAACGCAGACGACACTACAAAAGAATGAACAAAATAACGGAAATGCTTAAGCAGACACGACTCGACCTACAAAGGAGGAGAAATCGAGCAGAAACTGAAGCATTTATATCAGATTGGGGAGAATGCAGCTAGAAATAGAAAGCAGTACAAAGGATAAAGAAGAGGTCATAATATTTCTTCATATGCGAAATCAAAAGAAAAAAAACCACTGCCAGTATTGAACCTATTCGTCCAATTCCTCTTACAAGTGAAGGTTCATACACAGAGGATGACAAAGAAATTAGTGAAATCCTAAAAAAACAGTTTGATGACATTTAGCACTCCAATAAACAGCATGAAAGTGGAAGATTCGGACAATTCTTTAAGCGTGATATCCAATCCCTGATATCCAATCCCTGAGGGGTGGGGGGGGGGCATCTCATATCTTCTTGACAGCAAGGGATGCAAAACCTTATATGAAGCACAAGTTCGCTCCCATCTAAAGTATGCACCCTTTTCCTGGATCGCCTGCCCCCCATCTTTTGTCAGACTGTTGGACAAAGTAGAGAGACGGGCAAGAAGGCTCATCTCTAGTCTTGACTAAGTCTGGTGGGAACGGTCTGAACATCAAAACCTCCAACACCGTCGTGACGTTGGTGGTCTTACTGTTATGTACAAGGCCAACATCCTCAATGTTCCGCACCTGGCCCAACACCGTAAAGTACCAGTAGTTCCCACCTGTAGCACTAGGCTCTCAAGCTTCAACAGTCTCATATTAGAAGTGCCATTCTGAAGAACATCACTCCATCAGCGATCATTCATTCCGAGGCTGACTCGCATCTGGAACTTGTTCGCTCAACAGGTTGATACACGGGAGATCAGGTCAACTGACCACATGAAGGCTCCGGCACACAGTTGGCTACAGGCTCATCCTGTTCCTTATATGATTGTTACTTATTAATGTTGTTAATGAATAAAGGCTCTTCCTTCTTATGCATATAACAGGCTCATGATATAAATGGGCCTCTGGGAATAGGTTTCAACTTAGCTTCCATTGGTTCATTATATGATAGTTCCTATGTGTTAGTTTCAAAGTATAATCTCATGAAATAGAGTTTCTAGGTGTAGGCTTCAGATGAGCTGATGTAGGATAACAGCTCTTTCTTGTAGTTTCACTAGGTATATCATTAGACATCCCTTATGAATCCTAGTCTTAGTTAAAAAAAAAGGGGGAGAGAGAGAGGGGGGGTAGAGAGAGGGGGGGGTAGAGAGGGGGGGGGGTAGAGAGAGGGGGTAGAGAGATGGGGGGTAGAGAGAAGGGGGGAGGTGAGAGAGGGAGGTAGAGAGAAGGGGGGAGGTGGAGGGAGGGAGGGAGGGTAGGAAAGGTAGAGGGATAGATGGTAGTAGTAGAGATAGTGTCCCTACCCCTTATGTGTCGTGGGAGAGTTTTGGGCCCTTGATGTTGAGAGTTCTCCCTCAGCATACACAGTTCTCACCTCTGCTTTTCAATGGGGCTATTTTGCACATCCTGCCATGCCTGGTGGTATCATGTGATGCAATCTCAGTGTTCAGATTTGGAACCAGTCCCTCTAATATTTTCCACTGTAACATCATTGCAAATACTAATGTTATATTAGGCAAATCAAATCCAAAACTACCCTGGTTTGAGAAGCTGTAAAAGATCTGTCAAAAGCTCCTTGTAATAAGGACACAGTTGAGATTCCACATTGTATTTGCAGCTAACCTACAATTTCGTTGCAACGATTTGCAACTAACCTACTGCCCAAGGCTGGTCCTGGGCTGGGCTTGGGGAGAACAACTCCCAGAAGACCATCCAGGTACTATCCAGGTAACCTATGTGCACTCAACTACACCAAAAAACTTCTTCGTTATAGTTGAGTGCATGTGTGAAGCATCCAGTGTGATATAAACTTTAGTGTTGTGATGTAGTAATCATAAGCTGATAGTACTGTATTTTCAAGGTTCGGTCAATTGGAGCTCTGACTAGTTAACGAGTTTGTTAGACATTTACAGTTGCAGACCCTTTTGTAGTTAGCTTTCAGACTTATTTGTTAGCAGGATGATCAATTTATTAGTTTGCTGCTGATGAGTTTCTATATTCCATCTTTTTCCTGGATTGTTTTTATTTTCTTTTCCATATATGATACCTACCTTGTGGCTACCTTGTGCAGGTTCCTGGGATGAAATGCCCCTCACGGTTGATGGTCTGGTCAACCTTCTTGTCTGGTCATGATAATAAATTATAAACTAATTTCTGTGATTTTCTCTTTGAAATAAAGCATTGTTTATGTATTTTTGTAGGATATGCATTGGTAATATTTGTAAATACAGATACAAAAGTGGGAATTTGTTTTGTGCATAATCCAGTGACCATTCTGCAGTGTTCCTCTCTAATATTTTTTGTTGTTTCAGGCATGAGGGGTCGCCGTACAAGACGCCCATCTCCCCACCCATGGCATCGCGGGCGGGTGCGGGTGGCTACCCTGCATATCCTGGGGCGGGTGATGGACACGTGGGTGGCGGGGGCGGCAGATACATGCAACAGCCACCCTTCGTCCCCTATGCTAGGGAGACCCACTATGTCAGACCGGCGGTGAGTTTGCCCTTGTTTAGGTTTGGGGTTTGGGTGAGGGTGTTTGCATGCAGGTTTCAGGCAGAAGAGTCTTGTTTTTTGTAACCACTCAAACTGACAAAATCACATGTGATAGAAAAAACTAATTACTGTATACTGTATCTTGTTTTATTCAGACATTTCAAAGGAATATTTGTGATCTTGTAAAGGTGTTTTAAGTGACAGCTGGTTACAATGGGGGGGGGGTGGATGTTTGGGTATGCATACTATTTACAAGATTTGTTAGTTAACAACTGAAATGTCGTTTTTCTCAATCTTCTGTGTGATTTGGTCATGTTAGTTAACTACTTGTCAGTTAATCAGTAATGATGTTCATTAGTGATCAGTCAGTGATTACTTGTGATTAATATGAATTAATTCCTATTTTCTGGGACAAAAAGCCTGAACTTAAATTTAAAGAGATCCATATGCCATTTATTGACCTTTCCATCTCCTTGACCTTGACCATCTTTCCCCAAGATACGGCCTATAATAGCTAGCTAACTCCCAAGTACCTATTTACTGCCAGGTGAGCAGGGGCTGTACTTCGGGTGAAATGGAACCAGGGTCCTTCTAATAAGAGTTGGGGAGATAGACCCCCCCCTTGAGTTAATATCTCTGTGGGTATGACATATACAGCATCCATATCAGTTTAATTTTATAGAACATCATTTCTTTTTTATTCATATCATAAGTTATTAATTAAACCTAGTACTATGCTGTATGCTGTTGCAATTTTTAAAATCCATGTGAGACAAATAACAACTTGGCTCTTCCTAGAGGAGTTATAGAATAAGTATAACAAGTGGTCTGAATGTTGAAGTGGGAATAGACTGGGAATAATTTAATAGGTAGAAATGACATCCAAGATATAAATGACGGGCTGTAGACTTGTGGCAGTAGAAGATTTATTTAGTGAGAGTTGTGTATTACTAATACATGTTTTAAATATAGGGATATAGAGTATTGTACTGTACAGGGTAAATAATAGTAATAGAAAAAATTACTGTTTGTTGATAGAAGTATGATAAATGTGTTTGTAATACAAAAGCAATGAAAGGAAAACTGGAAATAACCCAAATCACATACATTTTATATACGTATATATACTGCACAAGAGTTCTTACATTCTTGTAAAGTCACTTGCACACAGCATTTTGGGCAGGTCCTTAATCCTAATTTTTCCTAGAATATGACCCGCCAAAGTTTTTTAACAACCCGGTATCCATTCACTGGTGGATGAGCAAAGGCTACAGTTAAGGATTGGCACCCAGTTAAAAGTGCACTTAAAAACTCTGTACCTCCGGGTACAGTCCTTGTCCCACTGCTTTTCCTTATTCTCATACCAGATATAGACAAAAATACAAGTCAAACCTTCGTATCATCCTATGCAGATGACACGAAAATCGGCATGAAAATTTCCTCTGCTGAAGATATTGAAAACTTCAAGCAGATATTGATAAAGTTTTTGACTAGGCAACAGAAAATAACATGATGTTATATCTTGAGGTTATCTTGAGATGATTTCGGGGCTTTAGTGTCCTCGCGGCCCGGTCCTCGACCAGGCCTCCACCCCCAGGAAGCAGCCCGTGACAGCTGACTAACACCCAGGTACCTATTTTACTGCTAGGTAACAGGGGCAAGGGTGAAAGAAACTCTGCCCATTGTTTCTCACCGGCGCCCGGGATCGAACCCGGGACCACAGGATCACAAGTCCAGCGTGCTGTCCGCTCGGCCGACCAGCTCTGTTTAACAGTGATAAATTCCAGATACTTAGGTATGGTAAAAATGAGGACCTTAACATAATACAGAGTACAAAACACAATCAAATGTTCCCATAGTCGGAAAACAGCACGTAAAGGATTTGGGAATAATGATGTCAGATGACCTAACGTTTAGGGAGCATAACGAAGCAAATATTGCGTCAATCAAAAAAATGATCAGATGGATTACGTGAACCTTCAAAGCCAGGGATACCATCACAATGGTTGTACTCTTCAAATCACTTGTACTGTCCCATCTTGGGTATTGTTCAGTACTCACTTTCCCCTTCAAAGCAGGAGAGATTGCTGAAATGGAGGGAATACAGAGAATGTACACGGCATACATAGACACAATAAAGCACCTAAATTACTATGATAGTCTTAAAGCTCTACTAATGTACTCACTAGAAAGGAGACGTGAGAGAGATCAAATAATATACATGTGGAAAATATTGGAAAGCCAAGTCTCAAATCCACACAGTAAAATAACAGCAAATCAATAACAAATAACATAATAAAATAACAAATCAACACAGTAAAATACATATAAATAAATAAATGTAAATATATATATATATATATATATATATATATATATATATATATATAATTTTTTTTATATATATTTATATATTTATATATATATATATATATATATATATATATATATATATATATATATATATATATATATATATATATATATATATATATATATATATATTTATATATATGTCGTACCTAGTAGCCAGAATGCACTTTTCAGCCTACTATACAAGGCCCGATTTGCCTAATAAGCCAAGTTTTCCTGAATTAATATATTTTCTCTAATTTTTTTCTTATGAAATGATAAAGCTACCCATTTCATTACGTATGAGGTCAATTTTTTTTAATTCGAGTTAAAATTAACATAGATATATGACCGAACCCAACCAACCCTACCTAACCTAACCTAACCTATCTTTATAGGTTAGGTTAGGTTAGGTAGCCGAAAAAGTTAGGTTAGGTTAGGTAGGTTAGGTAGTCGAAAAATAATTAATTCATGAAAACTTGGCTTATTAGGCAAATCGGGTCATGAATAGTAGGCCAAAAAGTGCGTTCTGGCTACTAGGTACGACATATATTTATATATATATTTATATATATATATTTATATATATATAAATATATTTATATATATATTTATATATATATTTATATATATATTTATATTTATATATATATATATATATATATATATATATATATATATATATATATATATATATATATATATATATATATATATATATTATATTATATATATATATATATATATATATATATATATATATATATATTTATATATATAAATATTTATATATATTTATATATATTTATATATATTTATATATATTTATATATATTTATATATATTTATATATATTTATATATATTTATATATTTATTTATATATATTTATATATTTATATATATTTATATATTTATTTATATATATTTATATATATTATGCATCATATATATATATGCATCCAGGTTCCTGCCCGCCATCTGAGGAGCTGGAGGAACTCGACAACCTATGACAACCATCTTTGTAACCCATATGTAACTCCTTTTTTGTAACAAAGTTCAAATAAAGTAAATATATATGTGTACATACAAGAGAATGGGGGTGGTAGAAGATAATATTAGTGTTCAGTGAGAAACCACAAGGTCTCCTCTGAATACTTTTTATTTTCTTCTCCGAGGCTATGGGTCCCCATATTGGCACCAGAGGTGGTACCCTCACAAAATTTAAAAAATAAAATAAAATTGATATATATTTATATATATTTATATATTTATATATATATATTTATATATTTATATATATTTATATATTTATATATTTATATATATATATTTATATATTTATATTTATATATATATATATATATATATATATATATAAATATATAAATATATATAAATATATATATATATATATATATATATATATATATTTATATATATAATATTTTTATATATTTATATATTTATATATTTATATACTGTATTTATATATATAATATTTTTATATATTTATATATTTATATACTGTATTTACATATATAAATATATTTTTATATATTTATATATATTTATATATATTTATATATTTATATATATTTATATATATTTATATATTTATATATACTGTATTTATATATTTATATATTTTTATATATTTATATATTTATATATTTATATATATATATATATATATATATATATATATATATATATATATATATATATATATATATATATATATATATATATATATATATATATATATATATATATATATATATATATATATATATATATATATATATATATATATATATATATATATATATAATATATATGGAAGGGAGTACCACCTCTAGCTGGAAGAAGGGGGACCCATAGCCTCGGAGGAAACCACGCATAACGCATTAGAGGGAATGTTTAGATCCCCTCCAATACAGTTTCTGTGTGCTTTTCTCCTACCACCCCCTTCCATTTTTATTTTTTGTGCTTTATTATGCATTTGATGGTTACAAGATATACATGGGATATATATATACATATATACATATACATGGATATATATATATATATATATATATATATATATATATATATATATATATATATATATATATATATATATATATATATATATATATAATGTTGTACCTAGTAGCCAGAACGCACTTCTCAGCCTACTATGCAAGGCCCGATATGCCTAATAAGCCAGGTTTTCATGAATTAATATATTTTCTCCAATTTTTTTCTTATGAAATGATAAAGCTTCCCATTTCATTATGTATGAGGTCAATTTTTTTATTGGAGTTATATATATATATTTGTATATATATATGTCGTACCTAGTAGCCAGAACGCACTTCTCAGCCTACTATGCAAGGCCCGATTTGCCTAATAAGCCAAGTTTTCCTGAATTAATATATTTTCTCTAATTTTTTTCTTATGAAATGATAAAGCTACCCATTTAATTATGTATGAGGTCATTTTTTTTTAATTTGTGTTAAAATTGACGTAGATATATGACCGAACCTAACCAACCCTACCTAACCTAACCTAACCTATCTTTATAGGTTAGGTTGGGTTAGGTAGCCGAAAAAGTTAAGTTAGGTTAGGTAGGTTAGGTAGTCGAAAAACAATTAATTCATGAAAACTTGGCTTATTATGCAAATCGGGCCTTGCATATTAGGCTGAGAAGTGCGTTCTGGCTATATATATATATATATATATATATATATATATGTCGTACCTAATAGCCAGAACGCACGTCTGAGCCTACTATGCAAGGCCCGATTTGCCTAATAAGCCAAGTTTTCATGAATTAACTGTTTTTCGACAACCTAACCTACCTAACCTAACCTAACCTAACTTTTTCAGCTACCTAACCAAACCTAACCTATAAAGATAGGTTAGGTTAGGTTAGGTAGGGTTGGTTAGGTTCGGTCATATATCTATGTTAATTTTAACTCCAATAAAAAAAAATTGACCTCATACATAATGAAATGGGTAGCTTTATCATTTCATAAGAAAAAAATTAGAGAAAAAATATTAATTCAGGAAAACTTGGCTTATTAGGCAAATCGGGCCTTGCATAGTAGGCTCAGAAGTGCGTTCTGGCTATTAGGTACGACATATATATATATATATATATATTTCATAAGAAAAAAATTAGAGAAAATAAATTAATTCAGGAAAACTTGGCTTATTAGGCAAATCGGGCCTTGCAAAGTAGGCGGAGAAGTGCGTTCTGGCTACTAGGTACGACATATATATATATATATATATATATATATATATATATATATATATATATATATATATATATATATATATATATATATATATATATATAATATACATATATATATTTATTTATTTATTTATTCATTTATTTACCGATTTATTAGGCAAATCGGTAGGCAAGTACCGATTTGCCTAATAAGGCAAGTTTTCATGAATTTTTAGATTTTTAGATTTTTTCTTATGAAATGATAAAACTAGACATTTCATTATGTTTCAGTTAACTTTTCTTAATTTGAGTTAAAACTAATGTAGATATATGACCGAACCGAATCTAACCTTCTTAACCTAACCTAAACTAACATAACTAAGTCAATAATTTATGTTCTTAATATAATATAATAATAATTTGAAATGAACCAATTGGAAACAATTCTTGGAAAATAAAGAAAATCACTCGGCCTATTAGGCAAATCGGGCCTTGCATAGTAGGCCGAGAAGTGCGTTCTGGCTACTAGGTACGACATGTTTATATATACTCTATGTGTGTGTGTGTGTGTATATACTGTATATATATATTATAATAATAATAATAATATTTACACTACAGTATATATATTTATACCATATATATGCTATGTATATTCCAGCTCAAAGATACCTTTATTGATTGGCTATGGTCAAAGCATATGAAGTTATTATTGTATTTTACTTAATTTGATTGCACATTTTACTAATAATTTAACAAATCACATGTTATGTCTCTTTGGGTTTTCCCCTGGCTGTTTGTTGTAGAATATCCGGATAGAATAATCTAAAAATTTAAATGGCATTCTGTGTTTGCAGAGAATAAGTCACAATAATGTGGCTGAAACAAACGACCCAACCCACACATGAATTAAAAAGCAGGTGACAACATTTTGGTGTGTCCTACTCTCTGGACATTAATAAGGATCCAGGACTCACCAGAATGTCATCACTTTTTCTTGTGTGGGTGGGATCAGTTGTTTAGTACTGTACTGTATTTGCATATATATAGGTTATTTAGGTAATAATAGTGCGCATTTTTTCACAATAGTGTTGAGCTTCAGTTGCATTACAAATCATGTGCAAATTTTATGTTTTGGAGAGGAACAAATTGTTGATTGGCATTGTGGCTTGTTAGTTGCACTGAATGTCAGATGCTGTATGTGCTGAGAGAGATTCAAGGTTGACCATTTAGTAAAGGTATTTATTAATGACCATTGTGAAGTGTGGGTGTAGTTAATGGACTGGAGAGAAGTCATGGGGCTAGCGTGATAGAAGAGGTTCATTTTGTTTTGGTTATTTTATGATTTTATTATTGAGCAGTATTTGCTCGTGTCAGTTTTATATAATGACGCACTATATATTTAATCCATGGTATTTTCCCCGTTCAGATGGGTGGCCGGGGACGAATCACCTACTTGTTGGTACGTCCTCCCTGCGTTGCGTATCCCCTTGTGTACCGTGACTGTATTTCTGCTTATACATGTTCAGTTATTGTATGTCTTTGGCACTCTCACTCTCTGGGTCATGAAATAGACGTTACTATCTCTTGTATTACAGTGCTGTAATAGGTGCAAGTGGTTTCATACCGAAAGGTTGCTCTTGTTTTATATTACTCTTGGTTCCTGTGCTCTTTATATGCAATGTCAACTCTCCAGTTCTTTAAAATCTTCAAACATTCCTATTTTTGTTTACATTTTGTAGTGTTTATATATTTATTATTGTGACTGTTTACCACGTTATCATCATTTGGTGATATTGGATTTGTCTCCTACAGCTCTTTGAAGCGTCATCATTTTTCTTGGTAGAATTTACGTTTTTATCTCCACTTTTTGTTGATAGCTTTTTGACCATGGGGTGATACACTGCAGTTGATCTTGCCCTTGAGGGACAGTCACCGAACTTGGTGTTGTGAATGATGATGATGATGGTGTCTTTCATACAGGCAGAAATTCATGGCATATCTTCTTTAAACATTCATTGCAACCCATTTTGTCATGCATTCATTTGTAATGTATTTTTATGTGCAGCCCACTGAAATTACAAAACTTTGGTATAGTATAGGCAGCTTCCCTTTTTTCAATACAATACACAAATTTTTAAAAGTTGCTGCTCACTTATATTGCCACATTAAAAAAAATCATGTGTACTTATTACATAAAAAAAATAGCTTGCCAGATTTATTATATGGTGTTTCTAACAGTTTAATAATGTATATCTGATTTGATTCCTGTGCTTGGGAAGAAAGATGGGCATGGGTCCTTATACTTGCTATCCCTGTTCACCCAGAAATCAGTAGGTATGAGGGTGTTTGTGAAATGTTTTGGGTAGCTTTCTGGTAAATGGTCAGCAGTGCCAACAAACATCTAAGCAACGAAATGCAAAGTACAGTATTTTAGTGTTGTTTAAACCCAAAATTATTGATGTAGCCTCACTTTTATAATGTAAAGTGTAAACCCTCTTCTCCCCCAGTGGTTGGTACAGGAGTAGGCGATTCTGACTCATGTTAGCAGGCTTAGAGCTTTCCCTTCCCATAGCTCATGTTAAGCCTTATCCTACTGGTTTTCTCTGGAATATAACCCGTAGACCACTTGCGACTCCTGTTGGCAGCCTTAGAACTTTCCCCTTCCCATAACTCATGTTAAGCCTTATCCTACTAGTTTTCTGTAATCTTGGCAACTTAGTCTTCTTAGTTTCGATATATATCATTCTTATTTTTTAAGATTTGTGCTCCCACTAAAGTTACTTCATTTGTTAGTTCTGGAAATTTTTCTGGCAATAATTTGCATTCAGAGTGAGTGAGAGTGAGTGAAAGTGAGTGTGTGTATATCCACCTAGTTGTGCTTGCGCAGGTTGAGCTCTGCTCTTTCGGCCGGCCTCTCAACTGTCAATCAATCGACTGTTACTAACTACTAAATAACTCCCCCCCCCTTCCCTCGAAGCAGCCTGCCAGGGATCGAATCCCAGTCCCTAGGTCCACGAGTCTAGAGTGCTGTCCAATTAGCCACCAGCCCCCCTGGGTGTGTGTACTCGCCTAGTTGTGCTTGCAGGGATTGAGCTTTGGCTCTTTGGTCCCGCCTCTCAACCGTCAATTGACTGATGTATAGATTCCTGAGCCTACTGGGCTCTTATCATATCTACATTTGAAACTGTGTATGGAGTCAGCCTCCACCATATCGCTTCCTAGTGCATTCCATTTACTAACAACTCTGACACTGAAAAAGTTTGTTCTAATGTCTCTGTGGCTCATTTTGGTACTTGGCTTCCACCTCTGTCCCCTTGTGCATGTACCACCCTTGTTAAATAATCCATTTTTGTCTACCCTGTTGATTTCCCTGAGGATTTTGTAGGTATCTTCTTGAGGTTATCTTGAGATGATTTCGGGGCTTTAGTGTCCCTGCGGCCTGGTCCTCGACCAGGCCTCCACCCCCAGGAAGTAGCCCGTGACAGGTGACTAACTCCCAGATACCTATTTACTGCTAGGTAACAGGGGTATCAAGGTGAAAGAAACTGCCCATCGTTTCTCGCCAGCGCCCGGGATCGAACCCGGGACCACAGGATCAATTCTCCTGAGAATTTTGTATGTGGTGTTCATGTCTCCCCGAGCTCTTCTGTCTTCCAATGATGTGAGGTGCAGTTCATGCAGCCTGTCCTCATAACTCGTGCCTCTTAGTTTTGGGACTAGCCTAGTGGCATACCTCTGAACTTTTTCCAGCTTCATCTTGTGCTTGACTAGGTACGGGCTCCATGTTGGGGCTGCATACTCCAGGATTGGCCTTACATATGTGGTACACAAGGTTCTGAAGGATTCCTTACAAAGGTTTCTGAAAGCAGTTCTGATGTTAGCCAGCCTCGCATAGGCCGCTGATGTTATTCTTTTGATGTGGGCTTCAGGAGACAGGATTGGCATGATATCAACTCATAGATCTTTCTTTCTGTACTTTTTGTGAAGGACTTCATCTCCCATTCGGTATCCAGTGACTGGCCTCCTAGTTTCATTACTTACATTTACTTGGGTTGAGCTTTATTAGCCATTTGTTGGACCATTCTTTCAGTTTGTCTAGGTCATCTTGTAGCCTCATACTAACTTCCTCTGTCTTGATCCTCCTCATAATTTTTGCATCATCAACAAACATTGAAAGGAACAAGTCAATTCCTTCTGGGAGATCATTTACGTATATCAGAAACAGTATACGTCCAAGGTCTGATCCCCATGGGACTCCATTGGTGACTCCCCGCCACTCCAAGACTTCACCCCTCACAGTGCCTCGCTGTGTCCTGTTGCTTAGGTACTCCCTTATCCAGTGGAGTACCTTCCCTTTCATTCCTGTCTGCATCTCCAGTTTGTGCACCAGTCTCTTATGTAGTACTGTGTCAAAGGCTTTCTAGCAGTCTAGAAATATGCAGTCTGCCCAGCCCTCTCTCTCTTGCCTAATTGTTGTTGTCTGGTCATAGAACTTAATTAAACCTGTTAGGCATGATTTGCCATCCCTGAACCTATGCTGATGTTGTGTTACAAAGTTCTTTAGCTCCAGATGTTCTACTAGCTTTTTTCGCACAATCTTCTCCATCATCTTGCATGGAATGCAAGTTAGGGACACTGGCCTGTAGCTCAGTGCCTCCTGCCCATTACCCTTCTTGTATATTGAAACTACATTGGCCGTCTTCAAAATTTTTGGCAGTTCACCTGTTGCCAGTGATATGTTGTACACCATGGAGAGTGGCAGGCACAGAGCTTGTGTTCCTTCCTTTAGAATACATGGTGAGATTCCATCTGGGCCTATAGCCTTTGTCACATCCAAATCTAGCAGATGCTTCCTCATCTCCCCACTGGTAATCACAAACTCCTCTAGTGGTGTCTGGTTTGATATTTCCTCTCTTATCTCTGGGACTTCTCCTTGCTCTGAGGTGAAGACCTAGAACTTCTTGTGCGTGCGTGTGCGTGTGCGTGCGTGCGCGTGTGCGTGCGTGTGCGTGCGTGTGCGTGTGCGTGTGTGTGTGTGTGTGTGTGTGTGTGTGTGTGTGTGTGTGTAACTACTAATCCTGTAACTACACCTAAGTGTAGTTACAGGATGTGAGTACGCTCGTGTGTGTGCAAGCATGCACACTTTAGTGAATATATTTTTTTTTTATTTCCGAGAGACCTGTGCAGTGTTAAATGTGTAGTGTTGACAGTGTGTGAGAGAGACTGGATGAATGGGCATGGAACTCTTTCACATTATATAGTAGTTGATGTATTACTGTGTACTGTATTACTTTTGTTCAGCATGCTTGGCACATTTGCAGTACTGTAATGTTCTCTGTAATGAAGTTTGATGAGTGGAGAACTGTGACAATTTTAGTTACGTAGAATTGCATGAGTTTGGGGAAGGTTCATACAGGAGCCTGCAAATATTATCAGTGGTATTATTAATGATTATAATTTAGAGAATGCATGAATTGGAGTATGTGGGTGTCTTTGCTCCCATCATGCAGTGTTGTCTCGATAAGCCAGAGTATGGCAAGATGTGTGCATGGGGGGTTGAAGTTTTGTTTATTGTATTAATAAACATTTGCAAATTTATATATATTTTTTTTTTTTGCCTAACCAGAAACATACAAACCCAAGCAGCCCATCTAACCTTTCGAAGCCAGTGCGTAGAAAATATCAGTATTATGGTGCTTTAATTTTAATAATATGTATTTTTTAATGGATTGGTTTTCATTAAAAATGTGAGATACTCTATTAGGTGAGAGAATGAGTTAAATTTGATAAGCTTAGTCTACAAATTATAGCAACATTATATATGGATTAACACTTATTTATTATTAACATCTTTATTAACAAAATTAATTACAATTTTGCCTAATCTGAGGATTTCAATTGTCTTGTTATAGTGAGGATAATGCTGGTATTCACTGTCATGCAGGACAGAGGGTCATACACAAGACAACAGGTCTAAACTGTAGGCTGAAGCACATATATATCATGGTTATAATCAATGTTCTACACTGCCTATCTTTAGGGTTACCATTGAATTAGTTCAGAAGTTCAGTGATCATTCAGCCCAATCTTTTACATTGTGCCCAGGTTGATTGTCTGGATACTGTATGCAGTTTGATGTACAGGTATAAATCACAGCATGATCAATCGGGCTGTGAATCATATGTCATATGGTGTTCAGTGGCATATAACAGCCTGGTTAACCAGACCGTCAACCAAGAGGTCTGGTCAGTGACCAGGCAGTGAGGCTATTGAACCTCGGAACCATCTTATGGTAACAAGTTTGTTACCCTTTGGAGGTGTTTATCAAACTACCTCTTAAATGTTGAAAGTTATGTGGCAAACAAGAGTAGGAGGGCAAACACTTTTTGCAGTACTCTCCTTGTTGTGCTTGTGGTGGTTGAGCTTCGGTTCTCTGGTCCTGCCTCTCAACTGTCAATT